AATGGCAAGCACGTATGCACGCGCGTCATTACGGTACACGTGTCAAAATATCGCGCGGTCGATCAACGCGGCACGACCGCGGTTATCGATTCGCCGCACGCCTCATGAAAACGATCGTGCGATAACACACTACGGTAATGCCGATTGACTCGATGCTTCCGCGAACGTAATTCGCTGCTGCAGATCGATCGTATGTAACTATAATGTACGCGCTCGTCGTTGACAGTTCCGTACTCCGTGGCCAACGATGCCGGACTAACTCGCGTCGTTGCCGAGATTTTTCTTGACGCGACGGAAGAACGCTTCTATCATCATCCGTTGTTTCACTCTTTTTTGCTTTAGCGGGACAGGAAGTTCAAAGGGGCCGGGGCGTGTATGCGCGCTCCACACGTACGCGAGGCCGCTCTTCACGTACGACCCTCTCGGGGTCACGGGATCAGTCGTGCAAAAGGGCCGATAATCGAGCGTGAGGCAGAGCCTCTCTCTCTCTCTCTCTCTCTCTCTCTCTCTTTGCCGCCGATAAACGCGTTCAACTTGCCTTTCAGCGCGGCGCAAAATTTTTCCCTCGATTCGCCGCGAATTTTATTCGCGTCGCGCGCGACTTCGGCACGCGGAATAATAAGCAAAGGCGAGCGAAAGGGGCGCAAAAATGTATGTCGAAAATTGTCAAACGCGGGTAACGACATCAATTCCAAGTTGGGCACGCGCGCGCGCGCGCGCGAGGGTCTGGTTGGAAATAATTTCGCGAAAGTTTCGACGTAATGACAAATGGGACGAAGCGGTTTCAGATACGTCCGCGGTCTGAGAAACTACCGACGGAAGTCAAGCGCCGTGGATTTCTCTACTACGTAAGCTCGCCGGCGTCCGATACAACAAGCGGAACGGGGAAGTAGTGTGTGCGTTAAGCTTTACGAAACTGCAGCCAGTTTCAACGCGGCGGTTTTCCTCCGGGGTGTAATGGTTTTCCACCGGGCGTCCGTTCAAATTAAAGTGACGCCGTAGCGTATTTTAGCTCGGTAGATATATATTTCAGGAAAACTCGTTTTCCCTTTGTCCGGGAATTTATTACCGTTTTCTTTCGAACAACGAACGCATTAATAAAGATTTATGTGCAAGTCGGTTCAACACTTACTGGATTCCACGATCGCTAAGTACGTATTATAGCTAAGTATATATTCTTACCTATATCACCAAGTATATTCTTCAATCACATAGACACACACACACACACACACACACATATGCAAAAATAAAGATTTAAAAAGAAAGAAAAGAATAAAAAAAGAAATGAAAAAAAATAGAAAATGTTTTACTTTTCCTTAATAAAACATTTCGAATTGTTTAAATGTAATTAATTTGTGCGTGAATGTATGTGTCTGCACACGCGATGCAAATCGAAAGCACCTGATGAGTTGCAAACCCATTAACCTTTAAAGCACACATGTGACGCTCGGCGTCGTGCCATAGAGGTGATGAATACCGTCATTGATTCGCGAAACGCGCTCTGATATGTCGGGATAAAGCTATAGTGCGCGCGGGGGGATTCGAGTGACGCTTTAACCCTTTGTTGGAAATTCGCTGAAGGTCTCTCTGTGACTCCCGAGAACCAATGTCACACGCGAGCAGATATCAGTGACGACCAGAACGAGCGAGAGAAACGGCATTGTTGGGTCTGCTGCGGTGGCCGAGCATATAAGGGGATTTTGGCTTGCTTGTGTTCGTGTGCGCAAATGTAAGCGTATGTTGTATCGAAAGGGTGAAACACGTTGCACCCCCGCCTACGTTTTCCGTTCTTCCAGACTTCTCCACCCGCGCTATTCCGGTGGCGCTAGCCAGGTAACTCGATAATCAAGTTATTCTACGTTTGTGTGTGTGTGTGTGTGCGCGCGCGCGCGCGCACCGGTTAACAAGAGTTCCTCGATTCTGTCGTTGGAATTTCACCAGCAGCGTGTTGTCATGTGCTTTTCGTTTCTCTCACCTCCGGTCCTGTGTCTTTCCTATTTTCCGCTTTACTCGCCTACACGTGTACACATGTAGCGGGTGATAAGTTTGTTTACACTCTCGTAAATATATCGGGCCGGATTTCTTGAAAATTGCCTATGCAAGTTGCGCCGACGACGAAATATATATCGGCTGTTCGACATACAGTCTTTTAAAACTTGTTGAAAAATTTATCGGAGACGGTTTTCTCTTTCTTTTTTTTTTTTAATAAAAAGAAGAGAGAACAAAGGTTTTTACTTCATTTTCATAAATGTAAGAATTTCAGATGGCTCGAACTAAGCTATGCTCTCTCTTTCTCTTTCTTTGAATTTGCAAGTTGTGTGCGCGTCGTAAACTTTCCGGACATTATGATAAATTTTTGAACAGCGAAAATGAATTATTTATTGTTCTTTTCGGCGATGGATTGTGGATATGAATTCACGGTTGGTCCAAAGAGAGAGAGAAAGAGAGCGGAATCGTGCCAGCCGAAAGGCGCCTCTTTGCTTTCCGATGGCCTGTTCCCTCAATCGACTCATAAAGTCGAGACCGTAAAAGTCAAAGGTGAATAAAGGGCGGTCGAACACGGTTTCTGAGTTTGTACTGGCAGTTCTGTTAATGGATAGGCGTGATAAGTGCGACAGTAGTCGTTAATGCCCGGCAACTGTTGTGTAAAACGTGAGCCTTTTACAAGAATACGCTTATAGCCGGGATTTTTATCACGGCCAAGTAAAGGCGTAAAATCAGGACGGTTAGTATAAAATGAGATTAAATAATAGATATCTTTAATAAAAACAATATATGTAATAATAATATATTAAAACCAAATTGCGATTAAATGTTTATTGAGATCGCGAGATACTCGATTAAATAATAATAGAAGGTCGATGAGAGTCAAAATAATGTACAAAAATAATGGAAATTGCATTGCGACTAAACAAAATTAATAAATTAATTTGCATTAATCTCATTTACTTCGTTATAAAATAATATATATAATTTTTCCAACGTGATAAATATTTAACGTAACATTGTAAACATGTAATTTTCTGTGATTGATAACAAAAGACGCGACACAATTTTGTTATACCTAAGTGAAGGGAACGTGATAATATAAGCGGCTTTCACATTTATATTATTATTTTCAACAGGCACAATTCTCAAGGAGTCATTTTGCGAAAGTAAGAACATCGTCGAGTCGTCGTCTTTGTTACGGATCGCCGGTTAATTTAAATATAATTAAACTACTTCTCGCGCGCGCGCGAGGATACGGAGTGAGAGAGAAAGAGAGAGAAAACGTGGGTGGGACAGGGGAAAGTATCGCGAATAAATGGCGAACGAACTTTAAGTAACACTTCCCCCGGACTCGGAAAGTGCTCATAAACCAGAAAGAAAGAGTCGTCTAGCGGAAGAAAGACGTTTTTACGTAACAAGACGGCACGTGTGCGACTTTTATAAACGCAAGTGTACATCGCGCGATAGAAAAAAAAAACACGGGTTCACTTTTACAGGTCAATTAATGACGCACGCGTCGCAATTAATTATCGTTCTGCCATTTCGCTGCTTTTTACATTGCTTACACACGCCGCGTCTTCACGTGTCTTCGTCAAAGAGACGTGTAACGTCGTTTATTCAGTCACTCTTGCTTGAAAACGCTTTCTTCGTGCTCCGACACAAGTGAACAAGCAACGAACGTATAATTGACACTTCTGAATAATGTCAGTTCAGAAGCACGATACCCGTGTCGTTATTCAAAACGTCGCACACGGATGTTGAAATATAATTAAAGCGTTAAAGAGGTCAATGCTTCTCAGAAACGAAGTTTTTAAATCGCGCAAAACTCAAATAATCACCCGTATCAATTTTATCAGTTTTGATTATTTTACTTGAGCTTTTTTTACGTGCAATAATAAAGTACGCGCAGACGCGCAATTAGCTTTCGTCACGTTTTTTTCTTTTTTTTCAGTTTTGCCTATCAAAGTGGAGTGTCTCAAAATCTCATTGAAAAATCCGTTCGCTTTAGTAAACGTTAAACTCTGTATAATTTATTAACTCTTAAACACGTTTGCGCTCTCGGCGCTACGTTTAATCGTCTGCGTCTCGAGGCTCGATCGTACATGTATATATTCATTGCGTCAAGTTATACCCCGCATAGTTTGTACATACGTAACTAAGCTATTTGAACTATTACGCTGAGTGGTCACTAATGCAGCGATCGACGCTTGTGAACGAGAGCCAATTCTAATTTGCGAACACCGGGGCGACACCCGCGGGGGACTTAATCATCGGACACACTCAAACCCAACACATTACCGATCTATCTATACGACAATGTGTACAAAATGCAACACGTAGGTACCACGACACCGTAAACATCGTCTACTAAACTTCTATTGGAACATTGTTAATTCTTTCAAATATTCGTGTCAAAGACAAAATGCAACACACACTTACGTTCACAATTGGACAATCTACTTTGCACTCGTACGAAAGATAAGGATAAGTACAGACAAGACTGTCACATCTATATATATATATATGGTATAAAACTACTTGCAATTAGATCTATAAGGATAATTTGCACAAATTGAATTGAGTGTGTGTTTGTGCGCATTCATGTAAAAAATCTTGATTCACGTGACTAAATGATATCTACCACACCGATACTTGCTGCATGTATAATATAACATCCAACATCCAGATTCTCTACGTTCTCCCAATCTAAATGCACGAGTTAATATATTCGGAGTGTGTTATCGCGCAGCAGAGGGGTTATTAATTTGCTTCTTCCCCGTGTGGTTGGGTTTAGAGTTTAATTTCTTGTGTACGCAAATTAATAACCGGTACTGCGCGCCGACGTGACGTATCGACGTATTCGATCGATCGATCGTTACATGCAATTTAAACCCTGATCGTATATACAATACAATGTATGTGTGTGTATGTATATATATATACGGTTTGCGCGGACAAGAACTCGCCGATTGGAGGAAGGGACCACTTGAGCCGGTCGAGCGATTTACCTCTTTTACCTGAGCTGATTTTGAACGGGGATCGGCGACCTGGACGGTCTCATCGGGAGGTAGCCGCCAGGAGTTCCTCTCGACGTTAACGGCGTTCATAGCGGCCTCCTCCTCCGCCTCCCGTGTCCTTCGTCGGTCTCAGCCACTTCGTCCTCGCAGGATCGTTTCCCCAAGGTCCCCAGGGTAACCCCCGGGCCACTCCTGGGGCCGAGGTTCTATTACACCAATCCACAGTTCCTCACCTGAAAAAGAAATTGAGACCTGGCGATGAATTTACAGAGCAGTAGATATATAGAACGCAACGACAAACACAATGTCTGCCAGAGAAGTAACGCGTTTTGATAAAAAATTACTCAACAAATTGACGAAACTTCGAAGAACGTCAGGAAAAGCGAACAGAAATAATAATTTAAATTAGCGTAAAATTAGAAGCAATATAATTAGAGATAAAATTCAATCCGAACAAGAAAGAACTCTGAATTTTTTCAAGCAAAGATTGTTTCGATTAATTAGTTGATTTAATAAAATTGAAATTTTTTCTCGAACTTTCCTTTCATTATGATATCCCGTGCGGATCGCTCGAAGCCAATCAACAACGTCGGATGATCGACGTTGCAATTTTTCTCCTCAAGAATTTAATATCCGCGCAAAATATGCGATTAGTCAACGGCCCAAATTCCACTCGAGAAAGTTTATATAAACGTTTAACTCCCCATTTGCACGAGAGGAAAAAGTTGGTGTTTCGCTATATCCCCCCGGTTATTGCGCACTATTTTTTCGTTTACAACGAAGTTGCAATGAAGTATGCGGAGTAACTTAAATGTGATATAACCGAGCACTCCCGATCTCGGTTGTCTGCAAATTTATGGAGCGGAAAAGAAGTACAAAGGAGCGAGAAGAGATGGACGCAATATATATATAGAGAGAGAGAGAGAGGGAGAGAGAGGTCGCGATAATCGAACTTTTTATTCTTCTTGTTTTACTGTTTTACTCCGATAATGTGCGCGCACACTGTTTAAACATTAATTGTGTATTTACGAGAGAATTTATCCGATTTATAACCGATATTCAATTAATTTACTATTATTACAGAATTCTATATTTGTTCTTCACATTTATATATTTTGTACGTTTTCCTATATACATAAACTACTGCTCTCAGTTATGAATTATTAAATTAAATAGAAATTTTATTTTTTTATCTCGATTGTTTTGAAATGTATGAATAAACTATCTCTCTGCCACAATCGTCAATATTTCTTTCAGTTGCGCGTAGGTAAAGTAAGCAGGCTAGAAAGGAGAGAAAGCTGATAGAGGAACTCCCGTGAGGGAGAACGAAGCGGAGGACGTTGTCCTCGCGCGCGTGGGGGATGCGGGGCGGCGTGCGGCGGCTAGCTCCACGTGTGACGTCAGAAACGTTACGTCAGTGGTGCGGCAGACTGTGTGGGTATATCTCACAGCCTCTCGGCGATGGTGGAAATGGCTGCGCTGCGGAAGGGACCGCGCGAGGACAAGGGGCGGAAGGAAGGGGATGATCGAGGATTCACAGATGCCGCATGGAGGACGGGGCTGACGCAAAATAAGGTCGGCCACCCCGCGCGCGCGGGAGAGATCCGTCCTCGGATTTCATTCATCAGTCACAGTGGATCGAGCGCGGCTCTCTCCACCGCCGGGGTAACGGAATTAATCCGCCGCGGTTGTCTGCGCAGCGGAAAAGAGCGCGCGTGTCGATATCGGCGATTTCGTCAGCATGTCGAACTGGGACGAAATTTCCAAAGGCAAGCAATTACAGCGCGACACGCTCACCTCCAACGAGCTGGTCGGTGCGAGTTTATGTCGATTATCGTGGTAGGGTAACGTGGTAAATTAATGGTCGCGGGATTAGTTAGAGAAAAGGATAATCCCTCTTCTCTCTCGAGGGAGAGATAGACCGATCAATTCTGTCTTGATAACACAAATTGTTTGGGGATGTAAGCGTAAAGGTTTAAGTTTAGCGTGAGCTAAAGTGAAATGTATTTTTTTTATTACACATCTTTATTTCAAGATGACGTAGTACAATTGAGATTTAATCGATCTCTGTTTTGAGTACGTCATTTTGCTCGAGCTGTTCGCGTGTCGGCGTCATAAATCAATTCCCGATTATCGTTCCGTAAAAAGGATTGCAAGAAACGAGGCGCAGCGGAGGTAATCGAATTCTCACTGCGAATATATACCGCGGAATGGATCCCGCAATTTCGCTAAGCTCACTCCTCCTTAACTTTTTGTAAATGCATCCTCGCTCGTTTTACAAGCTACGTGGCGCCAAATTGGCTCGTAAAATATTTCATACAATGTCTCCGCCGTTTTCTCTCCTCTCACTTGATCGATCGACCGGTTAAAATTTCTCAAATGGCAAAACCGGCGGGGGGTTGACTGTAAAATCGTGACTCCTCGTGCGTTTGACAAAACACACAAATCTCTCTGATCTCGAAGATGTCTCCTCAGATAGAAATATTATAAAAAGTATGAGAACACATTTATATATAGACCGAGAAAAGTAGAGCGATCAATTTCGCCGAAGTTTCTTGCGCGGCAAAAAATATTTTGCAATATTCCGAGCGTGGAGTTGCGTCCTCCTCTGAGGGTGAAAACTCATCGTGACTTATTCCCACTGTTTCTTTGTAGCGGGATCATTATTCCTGAGGCGGAACGTCGAGCAATTACGCGCGGTTCTCCGTACTGCAGACAATCCCGAGCTCGGTGGCTCCTTTAATTTTGCCTTTCTTCACGTGAGGGAAGAACATAGACAACCTGTCTTCGCGAGAAAAGTATCGAGATGTTGCTGTTTAAAGGGTGGAAGGATCCGTGAGATACGTAGGACGTATCGTTGCTTAGATCGATATGCACCGCATCGACCTCGTCTTCTCTCTGTTCTCATCTGACTCTCTCTTTTCGTGTTGCATTTATATCATTCGCACCGACGTTTTTCTTCTCTACTCGTGTGATACGCGCGAAGTCCAATTGCGTCAGTTTGTAACGATTCACTGACAAATAGCATATATACATATAACGTTTATTGATCTTACGGTATCGCGCTCGACTATTTATTTAGTCATTGCGCTGCGTTGATTAAATTTCACGATGCGAAATTAACCGCAGCGCTCAAATTGCATTTATTTATTTTTTTGCAAATATATTTGCCTGACAACTCGCGAGTTCTTGTTTTTTTTTTCTGGCGTTCGATTTCAAAATCAATGCGTGGAAATCGCGAGATTCATGTTTTCGGTTTTTGAACTTTATTGGGAATATTTGCAAAATTTTTCACTTTACTCGGAAATACCGAAATAATAATCATATAAATGTTGCGAAAATTTGCGAAGAGACACGTTTCATTCCCTTCGCGTACGTGCAGCGGTAATTTAGATCCAAATTATTTATGAAGTGTGCTTGAGCGCGCGCGCGCGCGCGTATTATTAGTTTAATATAATGAGCGTGTTTAACGTTATCTTAGTGAAAATTATTATTTGACATATTTATTATATGCGCCGCTTTTGTAAATATTACAACACATTGAGACAAAAACTCCTCTCTACGCATTTTCAAACGTACGAGATCGTGTCAGGTTTTGTTTTCAATATGCGGTGGCCACCGCGAGATAAATGGCATCCACGTTTCTGATGCTGAAATTTCGTTTATCGAATGGCGAAGACGCGTGATGCTTAAATCAACATACGCGTATCTCCCACGCGTATCGACGCGAATAAAAGCCAAACGTAGCCGCGTAACGGCTTGTCGATGAAGGCGGTGCAAATACGATTTCGTTATTCGTCTCTCGCGGGCATCGCGCATTGCATGCACGTGCAGACGCGCGTACAGCAAATATCCTTCCCTGAATACGCTCCGGACTCTGTGCAACATCATTCTTTTCTTTCGCCGTGAAAGATTTGCTTCTCGCGCCACCAGACATTTCAAAATAAATATTCATCATACCCGCAAGTTGAAACAAAGACGTGAAAAATAAACCGCGATGACGCGTTTGTCTTGAAACGAAACTCAAATTGATTTTATTTTATTTATTTTTTTTTTTATTTTTTTTATTTTTTGTAAACATCAGATATTCTGCGCGCTCGCTCGCAATTACTCGTGGAAGAGGAAAACATTTGCTCACGCCGAATCACACGCCGGTGACGCGATACACATCCCGCTTTGAAGTTCGTATCACGAGGCTGCCGCATCAACCGCGAATGTAAATATCTAAGTAGAATACCTGAGTAGAATACCAGAATTAAACATGTCGCAATTATAGTTCACACCCAGTCGTTACGTGAACTAGCGACTAATTCTCGCTTCGTTGTTTAAAGATGTACATGATATGGAATACGGTAAAGTTCAAGTTTGTTATCGTTTCCGCGAACTTGTACACTTGTGTTTTGTCCTTAATCGTTTGTTAGAAAGCGCGATTAACAGGTTGAAGAAACAATAATTTCGTGACCATCTTAAAAATATGAAAACTGGTCTTTTCAAAAATATAAAAGAGTCTTGTGTTTTTCCTTCGCGAAATCAAAATTGACATAAAGTTGCAGTAGTAGAATATGCATAACAGAAGAAGCAGCGGAGTATATGATATCTGAAAAGTGCACGTATATCCAAAAGTGTTTTCCTAAAAGATCCTTCTCGTGCGCAGTTCGGCGTATAAAAAGAAATTGTCCATCTCTTTCTCTTTCTCTTTCTCTCTCTCTCTCTCTCTCTCTCTCTCTCTCTCTCTCTCTCTCTCTTGCTCTCTCCAAACTTATTGTTGAATCAAGATCGCAGTTGAACAAAATACTCCGCGGCTATGTTGGTCGCCGAATGTTTGCAACTTCATTCCAAAACTCGAGTAAAGAGAGAGACTCGATATTACTTCCTCTTTCCTTCTCTCTCTCTCTCTCTCTCTCTCT